CAATTGTATAGTAATGTCTTGAGGCCAAATTAATGTGCGACTGCATTTTGGCTACAGACTTATGGTGGTAAGGCCATCAACTGCCAAATCCAGACACTTGTGGCCATCCAGTGCCGTGCAGGAAAGAACACAGGTGATCTTTGTTTCTGTTTCCTCTCACCCGACCTTTTCTGCTAGATGGGCCTTTTTTGCCCTTCTGCCTGGAGTACCCTGAAGGAAGGGGGAGGAAAGGAGGTTGGAGAGACATCAGCAAAGCTCCTAGCTTGGCAGCCCTACTTTCCTAACCCTCCCTGCTCCCCCAAATGTCCCCTTTCCAAGGTCTTCTTCCTGATCTTAGAGAGCAGCCAGTGGTTATTTCTGCCCCAGCTGCAAGGGGGCAGCACCATCATTCCCAGCTTCAAGGAAACTACATTGTCTAGTATTGCCAAAATATTGCTTCCTTAAGATCAGCCTTTGAGAAAATAATAGCCAGTAGGAAGAGGGAAAGAAATCCCTCATGGTCCCAATAAAAAATTCCTTCCCTGAAGCTGGTATTTGCATTGGAATTAAGGCACCTTTGATTATTTTTGTTGGGGTATTACTTGAATGTTAAACCTCCTTGCCTTTCTACTGTATTTCTAATCCCCCACCACTTGACATGGCTTGTCCTTAGAACAGAGTCCCATGAAAAGTAATGATGCATTTAATATAATAGAAAACAATAGTAGGGAACTTTGTCTTGTACAAGAAGTCCTTGTGCAAGCAGACAGATTTATGCTTACAGTTATATGACAAAAAGTCAACAGGACAAGATTCTCTTAGCATGAAGATGAAGAGACAGAAAATTTCAGCTCCTGAATAAAGCTGAAAACTGAAATTTCAGCTCTCTGATAAAGTTGTAGAAACCCTGGCAGAGAAACAGGGTACCATAAGATACCAAAATCACCTAAAAACATGATTCTGTAAAACAATCTGGATATTTCAAGAAAGCAAGACAATCAACTCATCTCAAGGCAGTGGGGTAGTTCAAAATATTTGGGAATAGAGAGCTTCAGCTGTTAGGTGGTATAGAAAATAAATAAATCCAACCTGGAGTAGATGAAGTGGACACTGGTTAAATGTGACCTGAAAAGGTAGGGAATATTTAGTGATGCCACCAAAGTTCAAACTTAGTTGGTTCAACCTTATTTGGCTTGGAGTACCAGCTTGCCCCATTCATAATGCTCCTTGCACTACAAATTAAGCATCTCCCTCCCCGCAATACACGTACCTAGCAGTGTCTCAGATACAAAAAGTCCCATGACTTGCCATTATAAGATATCCACAGTAACAACTTGGGTGTCCTGGGAAAACAGTATTTCCCAGGATCCCTGGCACCTGGGATGTTGCCCTTGTGGGATGAATCTACAGTGGCATTCAGGCCCATAGCACTGCTGACTGCCATATCCAAAAGGTGGTGACTGTGAATCTTCTTGACTGTGAAGGGGCACACAGCTGAACTGCAGGCCTGAAATATTATTCTGATAGCACAGCTGCCAGCTAACAAAGATTAATTTGCAAACTGCAAGTTAGCTTGTGAGAGGTGGGCAACTTGGGCCGCCCACATGTTCTTGGACTCCTATCAACCTTCATCACTGACCATGCTGGCTAGGTGCCAGCCACACAGGTGAGGCAAAGTGCAACCAATGCCTGCTAATGCCCCCTGTAAATGCATATGAGCTCTTCAATGAAGCTGAGTATTTGTCAGGATAGAAATGAATTAAGATCAAATCTAAAATAAAAGAAGCCATCGCACCCTGCGGTTGTATTCTGTGCCATTTGTTCTGGGTTGGCTTATTTATCTATTCCAGTACTGAGGAGGAGGCACCTGTGAACAGTACTGCAGAATTGGAAGTAACCTTTGATTTGAAAATGGTCAGAGAACAAAGTCACAATTTGCCCTTCACAGGAAATTATAATCTAGGTTGTGTGCTTTAAGAGATGTTCTCCAAAGTATCTAGCTCTTTGGGAATCAAGAAGGCTCCTTTCAGAGAAAGCTCTTGCAGGATGCCAGCCATTCAGAATTCAAACTGTGGGTACTCTTTTTGTAAACAAAGAGATTCTGGGCTTTTCTTTATTTTCTTCACCAACACATTCTACTTTGTCCCTTGTGGGGTACCGTGGGGAGTGGGGAACGGGAGGAAGCATCATCATCATCTAACCGCTCTATTTCAAACCTAAGCCAACTTTGGAAATCAGCCACTACAACAAAAATTGCTGATTGACTGGCAATTGGAGAGGGGAAAGATGCAGGATGGGTGGTAGCAAGAAAGACCCAGAAATAAAGTGGAAAGAATTAAAAACTGGAGAGCGCACCACATTGTGAGCGGGTACGGGGGTAGGGGGCGGGAATGGGCGCGAGGACAGAGAGAAGGAAAAAGCAAAAGAAAGTGCTGCGAACGCCAGAAGAAAAAGCCTTCTTTGTGTGATGGCAGAAAAAAGGACCAGAAGGGAGCGCCCGCTGACGGTCCAGATGTGCAGGTACGTTCCAGCGGTTTTCAGGAGGGGGAGGGAGAAGTGATGGCAAGCGCGGGCGGAGCAGGGGCGACGCGAGCGGCTGGGAGCTTGCAGGGTCTGGAGGCGTCGCGCCCGGCGGCGCTCCGCGCTCTCATTCTGCATTTGTTTGCGGAGAGATCGCCGCGCTTCGCAGCCGAGGCGCGTCTGCCCCTCTCCTCTGCCTCGGCGGCGGCGCTGGGGAGCGGAGGCGGGCCCGGGCGCTCTCGCCGGGTCGCTGCGGCCGCCACCGGCCAGCCACTTGCGGATCAGGCTCGCGGAGTCGCTGCCCCGTCCCGTCCCCGCCGCTCCTGGAGGGCCGGGGGGCGGCCTGCCCGATCGCCCGAGCAGCGACGGCCGGCTCCAGCTGGGGGAGCGCCAGCGATGAGAGTGGCGAGGCGATGCGCGCGGTGAGTTTGCGGGCTTGGCCCGTCGGGGCAGCGGGAGGAGGGGAAGGCGGTGGCGGCGGGTCGCTCGCCCCTGGCTGGCTCCCCGTTCCCTTCCGAGAAGCCGCTTTTCTCGAAGGAGGGGAGGGGGAGGGGAGGGGACAGGCGGGGAGGGGAGGGTCGCGCCCCCTCCGTAAACATGCCTATGGAAAACCGCTCCACTTGCGGCGGGAAGGTGCCGCGGGCGAACACCTGGAGCCCGCGCGCGAGCGGCGCAGCCCCTCCGCCGGCCGCCTCGGCCCGTCCCCCTTCCGGCCCCTGGCAGGGCAGCCGGCGGAGGCAGTCCGACGAGGTCGGCGTCCCGCGCCGGGCCCTGCGCGCCGCCCCCGCGCTCACCTTTCGGCAGCAAAGCGCGTTCCCACGCGGCGGCTGCGACGCCCGCCTGCGAGGAGGCCCCGCGGATCCCGCTTCGGAGTAAAAACCGCCGTAGGATTAGCTTCGGACCGCTGGGAAACGGAATGCTCGAGCGATGACTAGAATTCCAGGCAACGGCGCCAAGGTGGACTAACCAGCCCTGGGATTAGGAGCGGCCACTGGGAATAGGAGTAGAGAGCCGCAAATGATCATGCTACTACTAGTAGCAGCAGTGGTAGTAATCCGTAATGCTTCCGTCCGGAGCGGCAGGAGGAGCGGGTCGAGCGTGGTAGCAACTTGCGGCGGAGGGCGCGGGGCCGCAGCCCGGCTCCATAGGTGCTTGCTCGCTTCCCGCGCGTCGTTGCTCGCGACCTGCGTGGCGCGCGGGCTCTTTTCGCACGTGCTTGCACTGGCCGCCCCTTGCTTGGGCTCAGCCCGGGGTCGGAGGAGCGTCGGGCTGCGATCTCCACTGGCTTGTCCCGCGATGGCCCCCCCGCGCGCGGAGGACTACTTCGGTCCAAAGCGGAGTCTCCAACAGCCCGACTCTAAGCTCCGCTTACTTGGAAGGGGGAAAGCCCGCGGCTTTCCGACTTCAAAGTGCACCGTGCTCTGGTTCGGTTGCTGTTTGTTTGGTACAGGTTCTGGTCAGGGGAGAGCGCCGGGTCGTAAGTGACTCGGCCAAAGCCCGGTAATGCAACAACACGGGAGCAGAGGAGAGCTTTTTTACATGGGCGGAAGACGCGTCCGCGCGATCTGTCTCTTCCTAGCAAACCGTGGAGGCAGCATCTGGAAGTAGGCGATGGAATCTATTTCAAGCATCACTAAGCCATCGAGGGACCAGAATTGCCGGTCGGGCTTCCTGGGTCCTCCAGCTTCTTATCCTTCCCGTAATCTATGCCCCGTTCATTTCATTGGGCTAACTCTAAATAGAACTAACGCTCTATATGCTAGCCCCTGAGTTAAGTTTTTCCAAGGTGAGGGGAGAACAGTCATGCTAGTCACCGAGTGCAGACAACACCATAACCCAACTCAAAGCTTTGTGGCTGCAAAACCAGCAAAGGATCTGCTGGGGGAAAAGTCTTGCTCAATAATGCAGACTAATAAATGGGTTAGACTTTGAGGTGCTGCAGGACTTGTCTGTTGATGGGTTTGCATCTTGGGGTCGTTTGTTGCTGACTGTGGGTGAGTTATCTTCAAAGCAGCCAATCTGCCCATATAGTGGCGCTGCCTAAAAGGAGAGCCCCTGAACCCCACTGTCTCACTGACAGCCATAAAGACCCTTGCGTTTGCCCCAGTAGAGAGAAAGAAAGAAGGAGCATGGGATGCATTAAGGAGACTGCAGAGCTGCGGGTGCTTGCTGGCCAACAAGAGGTTAACTTTGTTTCGAGGGACGAGCGTGCTGGTTTCCTGAGATAAATGGGCAGGAAGCGAATTGCTTCCCCTGCTCGGGCCAGCAGCTCCCAAATGCTTTTTGCACCTGCTACTCTGCATTTTTCCAGTTCGTGGCTGCAGCTGCCCACCTCACCCCCCCCCCCATCGCATCACTTCCTTCCAGTCAGGCTGGATCGAAAGAAACCCTTTCCCCCAGCCTTGCAGGAGGGCCATCTCACAGCTAAGCCTTAGATTAATTTAAAGTAATTGTATTACTATAATTGCTGTTATTATTCTTGTCGTGCTTCTTGCCATTCAGGTTCTGATTTCCCAAGGGTCCCGCCCTCAAGGATGCTGTTTTGACAAGTCTCCGGGATCTGTTCGGCTTCAGAAGGGTTAAAGATGATGTAAGTAGCCCAGTCTTCCAAGAGCGATTTATGAAGCGCTTTTTGTGCGCCTTTTTGCACTGATGAGGAAGGGTAGAGAAACAAAACAATGGCAGGAGCAAGAATTGGCGGCTGGCCTCGCATATTGACCATCCCCCCCCCAGCCCCTGGGGCTTGTCTCAGTTCAGCCATTGACCAAGTTTAGAGGATAGGTTCTTATTGGTGGATAATTCTGCAAACAGAACTCAGATCAACAGGACAGGGATGCCTGGGAGGTTTAGCTAGTTCATGTACTGTCTGAGGGTGGGCCAGAAATGAAATCCCCCCTCCCCCCTCCAGATCCATGCATGCTCCTAACCTATATTAGACTAGCCCAGCTCATGCTGTGAGGACCTAAGCTTCATGCCCCTTGCTCTCTTTCTGTTTCCCTTATATGACTGCCTTCCTCAAGGGCAACTGGCTGGTCCTGTGTGGTTACTCAGAAGTAAGTCTGGATCTCTTCAGTGGGACTTGTTCCCAGGTAAATGTGCATAGCTGGATCACAGCTAGTTGGACAATGAAGGTCAATGCAATCTTTACAGCCCAATTGACAATGGAAAACCAGCATTTAGAAGCATCAGACTCATCCAGAGTCTAAAAGTGAACTCCCACACATGCATTCCCAACATGTAGAATGTAATAGATTCCACTGAATGGAATGTGAAAGGCTGTGATCATAATCCTGCTTGACTTGGAAGTCTATTTCAATTTACTTAAAAGTAGTTCCATTGAAACTAATGGAAATTTTAAGTAATGGGCTTCTTTGACCCTTGCCATTTGACTTCTACCAATCAAGTTGGTTGGCAAATGCAAAAACTAAATAACTGAGTGTTGCCAACCAGCCATTTTCTTGTTTATTCAAGTGACAGTTAAATGGACTTGGTGATTTTAGGTGCTCTGAAGCAATGGGTAGATTGATGTGGGCAGGTTTGTGGTATGCTTTCTTGCTTTCTCAAACTCCTGACCTTAAACAAGCACTCCTACCTTTGATTCTGAGTAACCATGTTCAGGCCTGAACTATAAACCACTCTGAATTCAACTGGATCTAGCTGTATGTGACTAGTCAGTTAGCCATTACAGTGTCAATGGAATTACCTTCCAACCTTATGCTCCCCTGTGTTAGACTGCAACCTCCAGTATCTTCCACATTTGAAGGACCCAAGTTATGGGATGCTGATGTGGAACTCAGCTAGCTTTTGGCAAAGTAATAGGGTTGACAATGTACAGAATGCAAGTACTGCTGTTGGTAAAATGTTGAACACGTATTAGTGGTTAGATAGAATCCCATTTCAGGACAAGAGAAATTGAACTAGTTAGTTCCTTCCAGCTTACGGGCTTTGTTGGAATCTTCACACACAGCCCCATCAAGCTATTTTGATATGCCAGCACGTTAGAAATCAACCCTCCACCCCAAAGGTTATGATGACCGCTGATCATCATATAAAAAGTTCATTAGTGAAAAAGAAACCTTTTTTGGAAGGGGGGTGGGTTACAATTTCTTCCAGGAGTATTACATTAGTAGCATTTTAAAAGAAAAAAATAATATCTCTCCCTCCTGACACTTATACCATTGTAAAGGATGCATATGGAAAGTAACAAACCTAAGTTTTTCTGCATCTTAACTGTGCATTAAAGCTCTCTGGTGAAATGTAGGTTCTTTTTATGAAAGCTGTAACATTTCATGACCTGAATGTTTACAGTAACTCAAGATCGCCCTCTACAGTGCGAGGGCTGTGATGCAATAGGGTCTAGGCAGCCACAACTCTTTCAGGTTGGCTAGTATGAATTCTGCACTCATTGTGCTCTTCATTTAATAAGGTTATGCTAATAAGTTAACTGTTCTGAAAAGAAAAAGCACTTATCTATATTAAGACAGACATCTCCTGATAGCTCTTTCAGGATTCAGATAAATAAGAGAATTGCTATATCAGCTGCTAAAGCATAAAGCCAAATATGCGGTGCATTGCCTCCATAAAGGAAGCCATAGCCTTGAGTATACAAAAGCTTGAGTGGGGATGTTGTGAACAGGATGGCTTTCACTCAAAGGACTGTATAAGTTGGAGGTGACTTGATAGCACATAATAACAAACAACAAATCATAAAGGGAGGATTATGCAAGAGGGAGCATTTCTGAATTAAAATATTGCTTAGGTTGATTGAACTAAATCTTGTATGACAGGATATCTTTCTCTAGCAGTTACTGGTTCAGTGAACAGGATCCTACTCTACCCCTTCCTCATGAGTTTTTAAAACAAGGATGGGGAAGGGGTTTTAGCAGTGTGCACACACAAATATAATTCTAATTTACTTAAAATGTAAATTGTATAGACATTTTCCCACAATGTATAGAAAGCAGTACTTAGTTGCAGGTCTACTCAGAAGTCAATAGACTTCAGAAGTAAGCTGTAATGGGAACTCTTACAGGCATGCAAAACATGGCTCAGTTCAAAAGTTTAAATTCTAAACTTTAGAATGAAATATTTAGGGTAGGTGGATGTACCTAAACAAATGTGAACTGTATTCCAAAGGAGACATTAGCTGTAACTCTTTCTTGTCAGCAGAACTGCCAGTAATAAATAGAGACCTCACAAGTCTTTTAGTCTTTGGACAGAATGCTTATATTTAAGTTAATTTGCAGTGCAATCCTCTACCCATCTACTTAGAATTCAGTGAGGTTTACTGCAAGGTAAGTGGGCATAGGAGTACATTCTCAGGTTCTCTCTCTGAGGGTTTTTGCATGTAAATCTCCATGCTATAGTCATGACATGTAGGTGCAGTGTGGAGTAGAGGTTAAGAGTGCCAGCCTGGGACTCACAAGATCTAGGTTCTAATCCACGCTTGGCCATGAAGCATATTAGGTGACTTTGGGCCAGTTACAGATTCTTAGCCTTACCTATCTCATAAGATGGTTGTGATAAAGATAAAATGGAGAAATATGTAAGCCTTCTTGAGTCCCTTGCAAGAAGAAGACAGACAGGTATAAATGTAATGCAGCCTGCCTGGTACAAAACTTGTCACCTGTTCAGCACCAAGTTAATACAGCTCCTTATAGTAAGGCCTTTACGATTTATTTAGCTCCCCAGCTGTCTTTAAGGGAATACTCATCCTAAGTGTTTTTCTCTTTCACTATATGGTTAGCTGCTTTAAATTCATTTTCATGCTGCTTTGATTTTATACTTGTTTTGTTGTAAACCATCCAGAAGGCTGCAGCAATGGGGTAGTAGAGAAATGAAATAATTTAGTAGTAATGATAATATAGAAACAGACCTTAATCAAGATGCTATCTTGCTAGACCAACAGCTGTTACAAAAACCACTGGTAGATTGTAGTGTAGGGAGTGCTTTTTCCAGCCACCAATTATGCTCTCCAAAATTGTTCTGGACATACATTGTTTTTCCCTGTCTATGCACTATAGACCAGTCTTCTTCAACCTGTTTTCCTCCTGATGAAAACTGTTTTCCTTCAACTCCTTATTCAGCATGGCCAGTGTTCTGGAAGACTGGGAGTTGTTGTCAAAAACACCTGGAGGGTACTAGGTTGAGAGAGGCTGGTCAGGCTGTGCCTGCCTGTAGGAATATAATTACTCCCTTACTGGCCTGGCTCCTGCAGTTGGAACTGCACGGCCCACTCAAGCTTAAAGCCAGTGAAGTCTAACTGGCACTTCCCCCATTGCCTGCCTAACTTGCGGTGTTCAAGACTGTTGCTAGACCTACAGGAGCAAATCCAGTTAAAAAGCTGGCAGCTGCAGAGAAGAAAGATGGTATGAGCTGGCCCTCTTTTTAGAACATGTGGCTGTACTGTTTATCATTAACTCTCCCAACACTCACTCGAATCATTCTAAGGAAAATAGCTTTAGGATCTGTGATGTCAGGTTAATTTGTTACCCCAGTGGAGGTATATAAATATTTTATCAAGGCTGCCATCTTGTGCCTTTTGTGGCCGCTTTGTATTGGTTAATACGAATTTTAAAAATCTAGCGCAAATATCTTCAGGATTAAAAGTCAGTTCATTAAATGCTTGTTCAGGCTTAATCCCATTCACTTCTGTGGAGCAGCATTTTCCTAGCAATCACACAGGATAAATAAAAGTAGATTGCCCTTAAAATAGGCAATTCTGAGATACTAATTTTGTAAACTTTAGTCTAAATATTCTTGGTTACAATTTTTGCAAAACCTTTTTGCAGAGAAACAAGCCTTTACAGCTTGAAAGGGGTGGGGTATAAAAAAATCTCAGCAGGACCCAAAGAGATATGTGCTTGGAAACTGATGAAAAGGAAAGTGTATTCAAGTGTTAAAGCAATTCATGAAGATTAGAATCCACTTTACACTCACTGATAAGGAAACTGGATGCCTGTTAGACTTCCTCTCCCAGGTTGTGTGTATTCCCCTCCTCCTGCACTCTTGTCCGAGTGCCTGGGAGCAGTTTAAGGTGAGAGTCCAAAGTTGTTAAGATATAGGGAACAATCCTTAATCCTTTAAGAAGAGCCCTCCTGCATTATACTGGCAATCAAGTGGTTGTTGAGTAGATGCCCAGTTGTAGGAGTGTAGCGCATATTCAGCATAACTTGCCTAAGACCACAATTTATGCACTTTCCCAGAAAAACAGCGCTACAATTCTTAGAGTTCCAAACCAGCATGGCTGGCTAGAGGGATGCTGGGAGTTATAGGACTTTTTTTCAAAGCATTCATAGGATAGCACCCTAAGCCACATGAATTCTACAGGCTTACAATACTAATGGGGGAATACATCCCTTTCAACCAACTTTTACCCAACTTACCGTATTTTCTAGTAAAGAGAAGGAAGGTGGCTGATAGATTCCCCCACTGTTATGAGTAAACTTCTAGTTCCTCTTTAAGTTTTTTTAAGCCAGAGCAAGCATTTAATGAAAATTAATACCACGGGCTAATTATATCCACTTCAAAGAAGCAACAAATCGCCCGCTTCCCCTTTTGATGAGATCTGGAACTGAGTGATTTGAAGATGCAGCAATCCCAAATTCTAAACAAAAGATTTGCAGGTCAGTTTTGTCCATGTTTGTTTGGAACAATGGGAGCTACTTCTAAATATACTTGCTTGGATCTGCAGTGTTAAAGTCCAGCATTTTCCTTAGCTGATGGCTAAGGAAGTATTATGTCCTTCTCTAATCTAAAACCTTTGCTGCTAACTTGGGGACACAGAGTTATAGGAAATTTAGCACGATGGCTGAATGCATACTGCAAGAAGGTAGAGAGCAGAATCCGAGGGTCCTTCAATGCATGTCTTGCGACCAATCACACCGCCCGCAATCTTGTTCCCGCATTCGGATTTGGAACGTGAACGTTACCAACGTTCCAAGCAAGAGGACTTGACTGGTTGTTCCAAGAATCTGATTGGAGGTCACCCCCCCCCCGACAAAAATGTGTGTGGGGGGGCAGTTGAGGCACGTACTCCTTGAAACACTAGGTTACATCGAGCATCCACTAGCCGGATTCCCCCTACAAGACTTGGGAGTAGAAGATACAGGCCGCAGATCTCCAGCAGCGTGACTGGGAATCCATGTGAAGTTTAAGGGTGCAGAAAACGAACAAAAGTGTCTTCAAGAGGGGAGTTTCCTTCCTTTGATGGGAAAGGAAACCTAGAGTTGATTTCACTATATAATAGGCAAATCTCCAGTCTGTTCTACTTTTTCGGCTCCCTTTTCGGTTTGGTTTTGCTTTATAAAGCAACGAGGAAAGTAAACCAACCCTCAGCCATTGCAAGCTGTAAACACCTAAGCAGCACTCGGCTCCTTGGAAAAGCGACTCCAGAAATGGGTTCGGGGGAGGAGGGAGGAGGTAAGTTCCGGCCTCCTATGAGGGCTGCCTTTGTTTTGTTGGACGGCCTGGCTGAGCCAATGAGCGCGCGCCGGGAGGAGTGTCGGGCTCGCGGGGGAGGGGAGGCCAGAGCCGAGTGTGCGGAGCCGAGATTGCTCGCAGTCAGGAGGGTGGCGGTCGGCGCGGCTGCTGCAAGGTCTCGCTGCGTCCGGAGGAAGCGCGGAAGGAGGGAGACGATCGATCGGCTGACGGGTCGATCGCTGGATGGCTCGCTCATAGATCTGGACCTCGCTCATCCGCTTTGTGTCTTTTTCTTTCTTTCTCCCTTTCCATGATGCCGCCCTGGCTCGCCTCTGCCCCCGCTCGCGTGTGGCCTGGCGGCCTCTTCCCACCGTGGGCTTGATTCGAAGGAGGAAGAAGAGGAAGCGCGGAGGCCCGCCCGCTTGCTCATGCAGCAGCCCCGCCGCCCCGCCGCCGGAGTCCCGAGGAGCTGCATGGACGGGTATGGGGAGAGCGGCCCCTTCCTGCGCCAGCGCCGCCTCCGCCGCCAGGGCTGAGGTGCAGCAGCGGCCGCGGCGCCGCCGTCCTCGCCCGCGCCCCCCGCCTCTGCCCGCCCTTGTTCTGCTCTTCAGCCTCGGGCTGCTCCTGCATACAGGTACCACGGTCGCTGCCGCCGCCGCCTCGGGTGGGTGGGTAAGGGGGACTTCTGTAGGGTCGCTACTAAAGTGGACTGGGTGGGTGGGTGGGAGGGACTCCACAGTCACACGCGCCTCTTCGCGAGAGGTCGCATGGTGGCTCTCGCTTTTTTAACGGAACTTGCGGGCGAGTCTGAACATCTTGATCGCGACGTCCCTTCCCTAGGTGTAAGTCGATGATTTCATTTCCCGGATGGGGGAGCGTTTTCAGCTCATAAGGAGAGTGCTTGGCGCAAGGAGGAGAAAAGCGGGGAGGGAGCGTTTTGGCTAACCGCAAGCCACCTGGAGCGTAGAGACGGGCGGATCGCGCCTTGCTGCAGGCACGTCGGATTCTCGGACTCACTCCTAAAACTCTAGTTCCTTGTGCAGAGCTCTTGCTTGCAGCCCGGAGGAATCTGACTCACGCGAGTGCGCCCCCCATCTCCTTTCCTCCCTTCCTTTTTTGTTTGTTTAAATAGTCTCCTAACCTCCCATCCAGCAAAGTGGAGTGGAAGGGCGCGGAGTTGGCCGCGCTCGGGGCGGGGGGGCTGCTGTGTCTGGGTGAGTTTGATTGGCAAAGCTCCCGCCCTGCCATGGTGTTTACTAAGTCAGCGCCGAGATCAGGTTTCTCCTCTTCTCGCCGCCGCCGCCTCGGTGGGGCAGGAAGAGCCTTGGCGCTCGTAATCTGCAGCTGGCGTTGAAGGATCTTGGGAGGAGAAGGCGAGGCGATCTCGGTGAAAAGTCATCGCTCTCTCCCCTCCGCTTCCCCCTCCTCTCAGCTTCACGGGCTGAACTTGACGACCGATCTGTTTGCAAGGCCGGAATTCCTTTAAAAATTCTTTTATTTTTCATTTTGGAACCTGTGCTCTGGTACAACTTGATGAGGCTTGCCCTTCCTGTCTTGTTTCTGCATGATTCCGTTTTCCATCAGCTGGGAGCGATTCATCATTGTAGTGCTACCCATACTTAAGTGGGAGTAAGGCCCAATGAATTCAGCGATGCTTACTTCTGAGGAGGCATGCATAAGGTTGCACTGTAAAAACAACTTTGGTGTTTGTTGGCAGAAAACAGCTTTCATTAATAGCAAATTTTGGTACAACAAGGGGGGTACGGCTTCTATGCCCTTAACTTTTCTACAGTGGTTAGGAACTAAGCAAGTAAAGGTGCATATTTAGACAGAAAAACAATCTACCATTCCCAGTATCTCCAAGCCTGCTATGATAGCAGGGCAGTACTGTGAGTTACACAACCCTATTTTGCACTAAAACTTTTTCTTTTCATGTAGTTGCATGCTCTTCACCTTTCAATTATTTCATTACATTTTTATCCTGTCTTTTTTATCTAACAAGTAAAAGATCTTGGAGCTCTTAAAGGCAGAAGAATTTTGCTAGAAAAAAATATAGTTACCAATCCAGTAAAAAAACTACATTAAAATCAGTAGGATTTAAGACTGGGTATTAGGCTATATACAGATTTTAAAACTTGGAATTAAGTCTCCCAACCATATGCCTGGTACAAACCTAGAACTGGGATATGAGGCTCAGTGGTAAGCAATACAGCAGCCCTTTTCAACTGTTCACTCTCCAGATGTGCCCTAGGCTAGTTATTTGTGAGGGATGTGACCTCAGCACATCTGTTGGGGACCTGATTGGGGAAGTCCGCTATATAGGCATGTTTAATGAAGATTTTGATTTGTGCAAAAGGGTTAAGTTTGTTACTGCAGTCCCTAACCTGGTACCTTACAGATTTTTGGGGCTATAGCTTCCAGCATTTCTCACTACTGGACCTGCTGGCTGAGGCTGATGGGGGTTGTATTCCAACACACCTGAAGGGCACCAGTTTGAGGAAGAGTGTCCTATAGTAAAATATTGTTTGGGTTAGAATTTTGTTGCAACCTCTACACAATTCAAATTAAAAATGATTTGGCATAATTGGCAAATAGAATACCTCTTGTCATAGTTTTGAAAAGTAGAATGCAAAGGTAGTTAACAATTATCCATGCCCAGTAGTACTACCGTGACCTCAATGCATGCCCTAAATCTTTGGAACTAGGACAAGCTATAGCCTAATAAAAGACAGGTCTCTCTTACTGGTCAAACGAGTTATTTACAGAAACAACTTGGCTTATCCCTTTTGTTTGTCAAACTGAATGTCCTTTGCTATTTTTAAATGTATTTGAATCACAGAATCAAAGCATCATTTTTTTGTTTGCTCGATTCTGGTTGAGTTCAGGTAGGACTGACATTCTGGTTTAAGCCAGTAAAAGTTTGTTAGGTTGTTTGGTATGTTTGAAGAGGGAAAATTTTGATGTTAACTTTGATTTAGACACCCAGTTTTATCATAAACAAATCAGTCTGCTTATGATAACATTGACTCAATAGACAGTTAACCTGCCAGACTGATAAGTGCTCTACATGTAAAAGAATTTGAAACATGGTAAGAAAGTAATAGGCTGATAGTGAATTCTTTCTTACAAAACAGAATGTGGAGGGTACCCTTTAGTTAACCTAGGAATATAGGCACTTTCTTGGTTCCTTGTGCACAATTCAACCCTTGCCGCCTGACCATTTCCCCACCTTCATTGTAACACCCCCATAGTTTAGGTACTGTCAAGCTGGTGTACTCAGCATGTCTGAGTTCCTGTAGGGCTAATTACCATACAGCCTGTCCCTTTGGGTATGCTTATTAATAAATATTCTGCTTTATGGGCAGGAAGGAAAAATGCTCAATGACAACTTCAGTAGCAACAGAACAGTGATTGAATTATACAGAGGGCGCTTAATAATATATAATAGCTCCACACCCTGATTTCCTACCATCTAGCCAAAGCAGATATACCAGCATGCACATACAGTAGTTAATAGCAGCTCTGCCATTAAGTAGAGTTCAAGGGAGATTTCAACTAATGTTCCATACCCTATTTCAATTTTGAGAGTGGGTGTTAAAGATTCAGTCCCTTTCAACTTTAACATTTGGCTAGATTTCTTTGTTCATATGAAGTCAAGATGGCAGAATGAGGTATAATATATTCAAACTGATGTGGTATGTAAGTTGCCCCACTCAAACAGACCTTTTTAGCTAAGTGTGGCTTGTGATATTTGAGTAACACCTGTTATGCACCTAGTCATAACTTGTATCCCCCATTTTTTATTTAGAGAAGTTCTCAAAGAGGCCCTTCTTTAGTGGGGGGTGTTTTGTGGCAGAATTTTGCAAGGGATTCTGCCAGATGTGTTTGCCATGCAGATGGCTAGACATATGTTCTATTATACCCAGATGGCTTACTTCCTTACTTGTGCAGCTTTAAAACTTCTGTGTCTCTGAATAGCAAGTGAAATTAATAGGAATATTGGACTTCAGAGGAACAGGGACTAGCTTAGCTGAAATTGGCTATTTTGTATTGCTTTCCCTGTGAATTTATTTTCCTTTTTTATTTGCCTTTATTTATATATTGTTTATGGTAGATTAAAACTATATAGTACACTGGAATGCTAAATAATACACTGTTTTTGATACTTAATACAATTGGACTAGTTATCTTAATTTCGCTTGGGACATTCAAAGCAGGGTTGAATCACCTTGACATCAGTCTGTAGGGATAATGGGTATAGTTTTGATATGAACAGTAATTCTTAGTTAGCAGCCTCTGTTGAGCAATCTTATCAATCTTATCCACTCAGGCTGGGAAACATGGGCCTTTTGGATGCTGGACTCTAGTTCTCATCAGTCCCATTCATCCTGGCCAGTAGTGAAGGATGATGTGAATAGCAATTTGTCAACATTTGAAGGGCCACAGTGTCCCTGGGCTTGCCCTGTTCATTACTTGAAAGATGAATTGCATGCAGCTTAGTTCAGAGTAACAGGCTAAAGCTCTAGGTACTACATTAACTTTCCAGGAAATGGGTGAAGAATCAATTCTAAGAGAAAATGTATAGTATTGAGCTATTGGTATATTTTCTCCTTTTCCTTGCACTGTAACCAGACGCCTAGATTTACTTTAATCTGCTAGGCCAGGCCAGGCCTTGCTCTTGCATAATAAAGTCCAGGACCAGAACTCATTATTTTCAAAGTGTTACCCTCTACTACCATCATCACAACCATTCTTTTAGAAGTTAGAGATTTCTCTGAAGGAGACATTTGATTTTTAAAATGGTCTATTTCTTTGTTCACTCTAAAAGTAATGAAACAGACCAACCTATAAATCCTAATAGAGAACATGAAGCTGCTAATACAGTCTTGTCTTCTCTGTGGAACACTTTAAACAAACAAAACCTTTATGTCATATGGTACCCTTATTAAGGTTTTTATTCCCTTGTGCATGTTCATGTTAATCTGAGTTTGAAAGCAACTGCCACTGCATTCAGGTGTCCATGGCAACCAGCTAATTAAGTGGGGGAAATGAATGCAGGAGTTGGATCAAGAGCCAGGGGGATTCGAAGAAAAGCTGCATTTAAAATAGATTTTGTTGTTTTGTTGCTTTCTCCATTTACATCAGTTGCAGATGCTTCTGTTCTCATGGGTAGCGCAACCTGGCTGTTCATCTTGATATTGTGATCAGTTTGTAAGTTACTAACTAACATAAATACAACTGGGTGTTCACGCTTGTAAATATATTTACAGCAACCCCCAATGAGTGCAAAACTCATCTCTTGCGAAGGTGTTGCATGCATCACGTGCAATGTCATCAGACTGCCTATTGCGCAAACTTAGTCCCGATATGCCTTTGCCCATTTTTTCTGGCCCAAGAGGCTACAGCTTCCAGAAAACATTCATACTTAAGAGGACAAAACAGCTTATGGTCCATCTTGGAGATGTCCCAGTGTGACCTGAAGTAAAGTTGTGCTATGCAGTTTAAAATACCTCTTGCGGATTGAACATATACTTAATACAGATGCAAATTTCCTTATAATAGCTTGTTTCCACAGCAATGTAATTAATACTGTTTAGAAAAAACAGGGTAGCTTTGATATATGAAATGATGCTTCAGATCCTTCAGAACTTTATTCTGGCCAGAATGTTGAAGAGTATGACAAAAGAAAGGTTCGGAAATATTTGGGACAGTATTCGTATGCTGGGGAGTGAGCATGTAAAAAACTAGATGAGTATTCCTAGAACATAGATCCTCATTGATTGATTGATTGATTGATTTTTCTATCAAAACTGAAAAAATTACCTGGGAAACCAATAAGCATGCTGCTACTCCGCCCAGCAAGGAAGCTGAAAGCAATGGAGAAGAGATAATGGCATTTTGCCCCCATCATATGTTTGCTGTGCATGCATAAACTAGCTTTAAGGTTTCGTAAGCTGTCAGCACAAATCTCTCAAGTTGTGAGTGTCAAATATACGGCAGAGGATAAATCCCTGGTATGGAATATTTCTTTATTACCAAGTAGGTTTTTGTATATATTGTGCACACAGGGCATCACATTTGGGTAAGTTACCAAAAACACTTTGGGTGTTTTTAATAGTTTCATCAGTGGGTGGCAGTGAGCTGAATACTTGGCAGCTTGGTTTGGTTTTCAAATGAGTACTGACATGCTCTTAGAAGGATATAGGGACAGAATTCAGCTATTGTTCCCGTTTTAAGTGGGATAGATATTCCATGAACATCGAATGGTGAACAGAGACCCCTTCTTAACTCCACCACTGAAATTAGTAGGATCAGCACTTGCCTTTTGGATCTACTACATCCTGCTGCTCTTGGTTATCTTTAGAACAATGGGTTTTAAAACCCGTATTACCAGCCTTCTGTAGGACTTTTCTGCCTTTACATTTTCTCATTTCTTCTGTGCAATGTGACCATTCATCTTCCTTCCTTCCCCTGCCCTCTTCTTTTAATTCTGAACACAAATCTTGAATCTGCGAACAAGAGTCATTGGAAGTATATTGTAAAGTAACATGAAAGTCAGCCCTCAAATGTCCAAAAACCAAGCCAAGAATGCATACTCTTTATCATAACCAGTTAAACCTTAAGTGCAGATAGGACATTTATGGCCTTTGTTCTTTTAAGTTTATGCATACCTTATTTTTGCCCATGAGCCCCTGTTAGAATACAGGGTAAGAATATCAATTTTGTAAGTTATTGCACCCAAGAATGTTGTTAGGATGTTAAATTCCAAGGGCTTATTTAGAAAGGGCAAATCCTTTCTGAAGGCCCCCCTTTCCTCCCTTGCTTCCTTGTTCTGTGTGGGACTTACCCATTTCTTTTACTTTAACTTGCCCATGCTACTTTTTATTTCTCATGTTACCTCCCACCTTTCCTCCATGGTGTTTCAAGGTGATGTATGTGATTCCCTTCACATTTTCTCCACAGTATCCCTGTGAGGAGGTTAGAAAGGAGGCTCGTCCCAGGCCTGGTCTTAATATGCTAACCTGACATAAGCAACCTTGTGCTCTACAGGTGTTTTGGACTACAACTCCCATAATTTCCAAGCATTTGCCATGGCTGTTTGGGACTGCTGAGAGTTTTAGTTTTAGTTCAAAGTAGAGGCAGGAGATTTCTGCTGTATCCACCTTACCACAGTAGCTGAAACAAAGACCTCTTTCTTTCTGAATCAAGGGTAGTATTAGGTATGGGCACTGTTTCTTCTCTCCCCATCCAAATCTCTTTCCTTTTTGGAGAATCTCATTCTTTTAAAATGAATGAATCAGCTGATGTCCTTATTAAAGTTCATTGGTTTTTTTTTTTTTTTTGGAAGAATCTTTGATGTCCCTTCCTTCTTTCCTTGTCTATGCCTACATTTGTCTTTTCAGGTTGCAACATCACCTTTTGGCAGACTAGCATTCTGCACTTCTGCAGCCTTTGGTGTAGAACCAATGCTGTGCTGTGCTACAGAATAGACTTACTCACCCAGCACCTTCCAGTAGAGTTGGATTACAACTCCCATAATTCCCAGTCAGCATGACTGTTGAGGGGAGCTGTCCTGCAGCATACCTGGGGAGACTGCCCTTTGCTCTTATGTAGCTAAATGACAAAGCAATACTGCAGAACAGAAAAGATGGATCCCCAGTTACAGCTCAACACAAGACACAGTGGACTTTACAGAACTGCACTGAAACAATATACAGTATGAAATATGTCTGTTAACATAATAATTGCTTCTGTACTCTTAACTGATATTCCACCTTTTTCCTGCAAGGAGACCAAGTCAGCTGACAATCCTCCTCCCCATCTTCATATTATCATCAGCCTAACCTACCCTGTGAGGTAGGTTAGGCTGAGAGTCAGTGATTGGCCCAAAGTCACCCAGTGAGCTTCATGGCGAAGTGGGGACCAAAACTTGCATCTCTCCAGTCCCAGGCCACCACTGTAGCCACTCTCACACCAGTGCGCACACATCATTTCCCTGAAGTACAGAGCAAGAATATGAGTTGGCTTTTCCCATCATCCTCTCTGTTGGTGGATCTTCTATGCATTAAGAGGCTGTCTTATACCAAGTCAGGCCATTGGTCTATCCGCTCCAGTCTTGTCAGCACTGACCAGCAGGTGTCCTCCAGCAGTTTGGGCAGGATTCTTTCCTAGCCCTACCTGCAGATGTGGTACATTGCAGCCCATCTCAGGATCATACAAAGCATTTGCTCTGTTGTGCAGAGCTGTGGCCTCTCTTATCATAGAAGACAAGCATAGTTCTAAGAAGTGGAACTCTGCCAACCATTGGCTCCCATGTTGGCTCATCTGCATGCCCTGGATATGTGTGCTAAGAGTATAATGGGTGAAGTGGTCCTAAGTGCACACACTGGCATTGTGTATTGGGTTGAGTCTAGCAGGATTCTCCAGAAGTATGTGGTTTCGGTGGGGTTCCTTTTAGGATTCTGGAGAAGTATGTGGTTTCGGTGGGGTTCCTTTTAGGATTCTGGAGAAGTATGTGGTTTCAGTGGGGTTTCTTGTAAGAACATCGTGCTTTTCTCTGCAGTGCTCACGTAAGACCAGAAAGGGTTGACATTGGAGTATGAAGCCCTTCTTTCTAGAAGCTAGGCATTCATGATGTAGTGTGAGGCCAGTCAAGTCTGGGTTCTTTCTTTAATTCTTCCATCGCCTTTTTTTTTTTTTTTACTGTGTAAGTTGAATTATATATTTACCACCTGCCTTCCATATCCTCATATCTCCCTCAGGCTACCAGGCATAGCTGCAGCATGTGGGTTTTTTAATAGGTAACAAATATTCAGTGTGTTGTTTCAAATAATTATGCGCCTGATTGGGGTGGATGGGGGAGGCCAAATAAAGTTGCATCTTTCTTTAAAGAAAGCAAAATATTCAGGTTTCAGCCAGGAAGGAAATCAAGCTAGGTTTGGGGGCCTGTATTCCCTCTTCCTTGGCAAAATGTAACTTTTATGAATCTGTGCAGTTTGTGTATATGCATAGTATCTCTGCACAAGCACAGAAACTTGCAAATCATTTCTTTTTCTTTAGACTTTAAGAATTCTACAACCGCCACCATTTTTGAGTTGCGGAAAAATCTGGGAGGCAGGATCTTTCTTGTTCTCCTTCTCCCCTGCTGTTCCTCTTTCTCAGATTCCTGCTTTTTCTCTCAGTCCTCCTCCTCGTAATCTAAATGCAATTTTATAGCCTTGAACCCCCTTTCCAGTTATTTTCAGATTTCCCATTCTTTTGTAAGCAACACTTCAGTTTTTCAAATCTGCATTTCGGAAGCAGAATAAAGATACTGATTCTCCAAACCCCTCAAATGCTTGCTTCTAATTGTAGAAGTTAGGATTTCTTGCACTAAAAAGTTTTTACTTTCTTATATAGGGTTTGGGGAAAGAGGGATTTCTGCACAGCATTACTTACGAAGACACAACCTTTACTTTTTAAATTAAAAGAAAAAAATTATGATGCATTTGTATGTAGTCTTACGGTGCGGTTTTTAAAAGCAATTTATTCTCTGGAAATTAGACACTGCAATAGAGATTCTTCCCCCCCCCCCCAAAAAAAAAAAAAAAAACCCTACCCAACAAAGCTGCAAATCACTTTTGGCTGCAATCCCAAGGATACTTATCTGGAAATTAGTCTCAAATTATATGTGGTGGGAAATTTGTTTCAATCAAACACATAGAGGATCATGCTGCAAATAAGTCATCTTAGTTACTGGCCCTCTGCCAAGTTAAAGGGTTTATTCAGGAATAAGTTCTATTGGAATCAGTGGCACTTACTTCTGAGTAAACATGGACAGGGTAGAACTGACAGCATGCCTTCCTGGCAGGGTTGGGTAATCTTGGGCAGTCTGGGACCCAGTTTCTAGTTTCTGAACTGACCCAGAGGCCACACTGCTACCAGTAGTTAAAAGGGGAGAAAAAACCTACCTAAATGCTCAGCAAGTTGCCACAGAAACTAGTTCTAAAACAAGCTAGAATCAATACTTGTGGGTCTCCGTGGGTCATGCCAAATGTTGGTGGTAAGCAGCTGATTTATTTATTGACACTGCACTGCTGAATTTCCATGGGGTGCTGGTGGCAGGGGTCAAAGTCACAGGGGTCCTTGTGTTGCCCACCTCTACTTCATAGAATAGAAAATGGCCTCTTAGTAAGACTTCTGCCCATATATTTTATTTGAGTCTGAAGTCTTGGGCTATTTTTAGGTATTGTGTATTCTTTATTTTTCATGTCCTAGAAAATTATGCCAAATGTTAATGGTTCTTCCTCTGTTTTCCTCCTCAGCTGATTGCCAGCTGCAAACCCCCTGTCGCATCCAGAAGTGCACCACGGATTTTGTCTCGCTGACTTCGCATTTAACCTCTTCCATTGATGGCTTTGATTTGGAGTTCTGCAAAGCCCTGCGTGCCTATTCTGCCTGCACCTACCGCAATTCCAAAGTCTGCCGAGGAAACCTGGTCTATCATTCTGCTGTACTGGGCATCAGTGATCTCATGAGCCAGAGAAACTGCTCCAAGGATGGCCCAACGTCCTCCACTAACCCTGAAGTTACCCATGACCCATGTAATTACATTGGCCGCCAAGGAGCCAGAGAACACCGAGGAGGAGAGCAGACACCTCCCACTTACTTTTTCTGTGGCTTGTTTGGAGATCCCCACCTACGGACTTTTAAGGATCACTTTCAGACATGCAAAGTGGAAGGGGCCTGGCCTCTCATCGACAACAACTACTTGTCAGTGCAAGTGACGAACGTGCCAGTGGTCCCAGGATCCAGTGCTACTGCAACAAATAAGGTATGTAGGGCCCGGTGTGTTCAGAACTTATTTCCAAAGCAAGTGTGGCATTTAAAAAATGTAAAACAATGTAAAGGTTTATTTTCAATTTATTTTTAAGAAGGGCAATGGTCTTTGAGAACAATTCATAAGTGAGATGAGCTTGTGTCTTACTCGTTTCTGTAAGGCATGTGCATGATTGATCATGGTTAGATTGCTTCTTCTAGCTCATTTCAAACAGTTGCTCCTAGATAGCTTAATTGTTCACCGGACTGAGTTTTCATGGTGGGCTTCCATGTTTTTTGGTGAAGAAACAGAGCTGTTACTTGAATGCCACATAATGAATTTTGTATTTCAGATACTGCTGTTGGAATGGTTCATGGTGGGTATGCCCAAGGCACGATCTGTGGGCACTGTCTGTTAGGCCATCTTCTGGTACAACTTGGAATGGGATGGAAGAGGCATCATCAGGAAGCTGCAGGGCAGACAGAGAACAAATGTGGCAGCAGTTGTTTAGTTAGCTTGTAGTGGTGCTTGGTCAAGGGAAAATGGCAAAGCATGGCCAAAGATGCATGATCAAGAGATGAGTTTATGACACAGCAGAAAGAGCTGGCTGGTAAGGAGTGAACATAGCATCTACGCTTAACTCTTACGGGGGTTCTTTTGATCCTATGTCATGTAGCCAAGAAACATTGGATAGAGATTTGAGAGAGACAGCTGAGCTATGATGGGGAAGGGATGGTGTAAATGAACCTGCATAAAAGACAAGGTTCTACAGAAAATGAAGAAATATGTGGTTGGGAATTACTTTTATTGATGGTTTTCAAGCTGCTATTGTGTTCCAAGTTACATTATCCTTCATATAGTCTTGTTGAGTTGCCAAATCCCATGTATGCTGTCTTTTTATTGATATTAATTTAGTTCTGTTTATATTGTACACTATCGAGAGAGCCCGATGGGCTATGGGGCAGTTTATAAATGCAATAATAAATAAAAATAAAAAATGAATTAGATGGAACTGCATAATGAGTGAAATGCGTTTATCAGGTTATGGTATCTTCAGAGGTGCTGAACCTCTTTAAGCCTGAAGGTCAACTTTCATTTTAGAGAAGTTCTTGAGAACCATATTCTAGTGGTGAGGGGGGCTGAAGGCATAAGGGGACGGAACCAAATTTGCCAGCATAGTCTTGTTTAACGCTCTTAAATACAAAACTCTTAAATAAGAGGCAATTCAACCTTTCAGAATGAGGCAAACTGCACAAAAGCCAGAGAACCATCAAATAGTTTATAGCCGAGGCAAGGGAAGTGGGATGGGGGAAGAGGATTTGGACATCTGGGAAAACTTGGAGGCTGAGGCTCTGCACCCCCACAGAAATTAAATAAGGGGTGGACAGGAAGGAGATAGTACTCTGCTGGGAGACACTAATTATTGATAGACCACTTGGTGCTTGCTGGTTTGAAGAGATTATTTTAGAGAGTACTTACTATAAGAAGCACACTTTGGCATGGTAAACAACTTATGTTAGAGTATATACTTGAGAATACAGAAGAGATCAGTTATGCTTTAACTGATAAGAGATGATGAACATGTCCACTTGCTTTGTAAATTGATCATGGGCAGGTAGATTCTAGTTCTTTAAAAGGTAGATTATACAATACTGAGGTCAGCCTACCATGGGCTAAACAGCACTTATATATTTATTTATTAGATGTATACCCTGCCTCTTTTCCTACAAAGAACTCAGAGCAGTTTACATCATTCTCCTCTTCCTCCTCTCAGTCTTAGCCCCACAACAACAACCCTGTGAGTTAGATTGGGCTGAGAGTCTGTGACTGCCCCAAATTCATCCATTTAGTTTCATGGCTAAACAGGTAGAACCCAAATCTCCTTAGTCCCAAACCCACACTCTTAACCACTACACTACACTACACTACACTGACTTTCTCACTTCTGGCCATTCACTTCATTTATGTGAGTCATGCCTAAAGAACTAGACCAAATCGTATCAGTTTACTGAATCTAGTTTCCATGTCACGACACCCCATAGGTGGTTGTGAATGAAGCAGGAGTAAGTTCTTGCCACCTGATTGCACCTGTTGCAGTCCAGCATGGCTAAACAACCTGGGGAAGTTCTGTCCCTGGTTTGTGACATCTGAATCCAGAATTGCAGGTTGTTGAAGGGAGACAACCTGGGTGCTAACTCTGGGGTGGCTTTCCCTCACCATTCTGGGTTTGGACATCAGGATAAAAGAGGGATGAGGTGGTTTTCCTCTGTGGAAGCATGCAGCCTACCCTAGGTAGTCATGAAATGAAAGCTGGGCTATTGTGTTTAAGGAATCATAGCTTTTCGGCTGACGCTTACATTGATGGTTAAGTTCTCAAGTTATGCTTCCTACTAGAAGTCCAAAACCTGGGACATTTTTTAACATCGTAACTCTCATCAAATATTACAGTTCACATCAAATATCAGTTTACAATATTACAATTACAGAAGCTTCCAGTTCTCTAATTTCAGTCCTGTTTCCCACTATAGGGTAGTGTTAGGAACCCAAATAGCTGTGTTCTAGCCAAAATTTGCTACTTCGCAAGTAATGATTGTAAGGAAGGTAAAGAGGCTTTCTTGGACTGATATATAACTTGGGTGCACTTCAGTATTTAAGGTGTACCTGTAAAATTTTATAAGTTCACAGTGAAATACAGATACACTGTAAAACATGTGTTTGCACGCTTGAATAGTATATGCTTTTTGCAATGATTAGCAAGACAGGAATGGCTGCTGCTTGATGAGTACCTGACCCATCGTGACCCCATGGAAAACATTCCTCCAGGCCTTCCTGTCCTTCACCATCCCCTGGAGTCCACTCAAGTTCACACCAACTGCTTCAGTGACTCCATCTAGCCACCTCATCCTCTGCCGTCCCCTTCTTCTTTTGCCATCTATTGTTCCCAGCATTAGACTCCTCCAGTGAGTCCTTCCTTCTCATTAGGTGGCCAAAGTATTTGAGTTTCATCTTCAGCATCAGGTCTTCTAAAGAGCAGTTGGGGTTGATCTCCTCTAAGACTGACTGGTTTGATCGCCTTGTGGTCCAAGGGACTCGCAGGAGTCTTCTCCAGCACCACAATTCAAAGGCCTCAATTCTTCAGCACTCAGCCTTCCTTATGGTCCAGCTTTCACATCCATACATTGCAACTGGGAAAACCATAGGCTTGACTATATGCAACTAACAACAACGTTTGAAGTAACCTTCAAATATTACACTTTCCCGCCTTCTGAAGCCTGTCCATTCTACAGAGAACATAATTTCTTGTCCAAGATCCCATGATGCGTTTTACTCCTTAGAGAATCTGGACTTTTGGTGGACTTGGGAGAAAGGAAGATAAGTGTTTATCTTTAAACATGAAAACTGATGGCCTTGCAGGATGAAGTTTTCTCACTATAAAGCCATTTTTATTATCCTTTTCTTAAGATGTTTTGGGCTGGTCACTCAGCAAATGGCAAATCATTTTTATTCTGACATTTCAGCACAACACTTGTTCTCTTGGTGAATGAATAGAAATGTTTGAGAGGGACCTGTCAGATATTGGTGTGGGTGCTCTTCCATGTGCTGTGTTCTCTTTGTTACATATGTGGCTTTAAAGCCAGTCTTTCTTCCTTTCCCTAGCCCACAAGCCTATGAAAAGTGCTGTGTTCAACACCGATTCTTTTAACAGCAAAAATAGCAACCAAAAAGTGCCATTACTGAAGTTAAGATAGAATTGATCCAAACTGTCTTTCCGTGTGCACAACAAGGTTAAATAAGCAGACAGATTTAATGGGGGGTGTAAAGAGACTTTGACTGTAGGATGTCTCAGAAAGGTTTCTTGGCACTGTTGATTCTATTGGAAGCTTTGAAGGCCTTGAGGTTTTGCTGCCACTGCCAGGCAATTAAGCTTTTATCAGAACACCTTTGTGGGAATTCAGGCACTGTTCTGCTGCCATGGCAGGTCTGCATGAATTATGTTTGAAAGCCTGAATGCATCATTGGAAACCCTTGACTTCAGTGCTTAATTTTTTCATTTTTTAAGATCCAAGATATGAAAGTCTTTTACCTTCTGGGGATATTTTCACACATTTAGCAATTTTTTCATGGATAAACCTTCCACCACTTTGAGGGAAACCTTGAAACTGCCATAATGATAAAAAAGAAAAGCGATTTTTTTAAAGCTACCAAACTGTAGTTTTGTTACCTTTTTAAGCAAGTCTTCAAAATGCGAACCCACATATCTGAGTTCTTTCTTAGTATAGATTTCTCATAAGAGAATAGGATTGGGCTAGACGCCATTCTGGATTGAGATTAGGGAAGACAAAGTCAGTGATTTTTAAACTCACCAAAATTTTTGAAAGTTACATCAAAACTTTCAGTTGGCTCATGCTTTCCCTTTTTTGACTCAGCTGAATGGAAAAATGAACACCTCTGTGGGTCTTTTTCTCCATTGACCAAAGTACTTTTTTTCTGGAAAAATGTACTTTTTAAAAGACATCTTTTAAAATAAAGATTTTTCAAATACAGTTGCAAATTTTAGGATTTAGGAACAGTTTGTGCAAAGTGCTCTTGTTTGTATTTGGAATTATAAATGGTTCATGTTTGCACAAATTGCAAACAGAAACAAAATGCTTGTATTTTCCTTGCTGGAATAAATATGTCTTTTTTTGGGTTTGAGCCTTAGGATATTAACAGTGTTTCTTCTATGGTTAAAAGCAGCAGCATGCTTGCAGTGCTGTCCAAGGTGAAAGCATTTATGGCTGCAGTGTTACCCTTCCTTTCCCATGGATAGGATTCCACTGCACATTTCATTCTGCTAGACTGTCTCAAGGAGGGCAATGCAACTTAACTTTCAGAAACAATACAATATTCCATGCTATAGACTAAAATGTGTTCATTTGTCTCCCAGTGTGCATCTATGGTGGGCTTAGAAAGTAAGAAGGAGACAGTAAGTAGAAGCATTGCTGTTTGAAAGTAAAAAGAAAGTATGGGTATTC